GATGCTCGGGATGTGTGCTCCGAGTTTTTCTCCTCCTGGGAGAGACGGGGTGGCACTAACCCCATCCTCCTCGGGCCCTACCCAAGGTCACACATTTGCTGGATGGCTGGCCAGCATTAGGAGCACAGGCCGGAGCGGAGAAAAAATGTCTCCTTGTGACGGGCTGAGGGACTGACCCCATATCCTCGGTCTCATTAGTCGGCCCAAGCTCAGACCAAGTAAGCCAGCGAGCCGGGGGTGAGGAGGTGGCATGGGGAGCTGCTCACCTATAACTGCTCACACAGTCAGCCAGAGCAGGAGAGAGCTGAGGGGGGGGTGTGTGTGTGTGTGTCTGTATGTCTCAGGAGGGCTACATTTGGAGTAGGGACTATGGTTCAGGGCAGGGAGAATTAAACAGATCCTAGAATGTCAGGGCATTCCTAACAAATAAATTCCAGAGAGACACTTAAATTCTTTACCTGAAGAATACACCTCCATGAAATCTTTACCGGTTCAGGTGAAAAGACAGAGCCACAGATAATGATGTGGCTACCGTTTACTGTATGGCTCTCACTGCTCAGCACTGGATGGAGATCTCATTTAATCCTCGTAACAGCCCAATGCGGTAGGCACTAACATTGTCTCATTTCATAGATGGGAAAATTGAGGCTTAGAGAAGTTAAGTCACTTGCCCAAGGTGACAGAGCCAGGGAACGGGACAGCCAGGGTTCCACCCAGGTCTGTCTGACTCCAAACCCGTGTTCCTAACCACCGTGCTGCCTCCCATTTAGGCTGGTTGAAGATTCACCTCCTGGTTCCAAGGGTTAAACTAGGGGCAAGAGCTTTTCTTCTAAAAAATAGGTCCAGGCTTGCCAGAGAGGAACAAGCCAGAAGCAAGTTTTACTGCTGCTCTCACTGCCCCAGACCCACAGGAGATAGAGTTGCTACCCTGAGTTAAGGGTTCCGCTCTCACCCATCCAGGCAGCAGATGGTGCCCCCTGGTGGTGACTGCAGGGAAGGGCAGTGGGTGGGAACATGAGCTTGGGGTTGGCCAGCCAAGGCGGGACAGAGACAGCAGTGCCACAGAGCAGAGAGCAGGTTCCATCAAGCCAAGCCGCCCCAGGCAAAGGGTCAGATCCCATCTCCTTTCATGGGGCCCAAGGGGTCCTGCCTGCTGTGCGGGTCAGCCAGGTGCTCATCAGAGGTGATACAGACCAGTAACCCAAATGACATCACCAAACATCAGCCACACTCTTATCACTCAAACCTAGGGTCTGCACCTAAACTCACACTCCTGCACACACCATACTGGCATCACCTGGTTTGCAATTTAGGGCCTAAGATTTTGGCTAATTTAGAGGTCATTCTGGCAACCAAAAGGGAAAACCTCACTACTGGATTGCTTTTGCTTACAGGGACCAGGCCTACCTGAGGGAGTTCCTGGGGACCGCGGTCCACATAGTTCCCCAAGGCCCACCCTCACGGGGAGTCCAACACGGGCCACTTATAAGACAAGACAGGAAGTGCCTCGTGGCTTGGGGAGCGCAGAGACGGGGTGAGGAATTCTGCT